GCTGAACCAAGCTGTGCTTCCCTTCGCAGGTGGTGAGCAAGGAGCTGGTGTGCAAGTCGTGCCTGACGAGGACCTTGAACAAACTGGAGACCATGATGAACATCCTGCAAGGGGAGATGACCCAGGGCACCGTGACGCCGACCGGCATCGCCGACAACATCCTCAACATCACCGGTCGGTTTTGTCCTGCAGTGCCACGGGGGGGGTTAAGGCATCGGGGAGATCACATCCAGCATTTGGAGTGTGGCACCGCAGTGATTGCTTTTCCCAGGGCTGTCCTGGCTCTGGCGCGGTCTCTGCAGACGTTGAAACATGACAGTTGTTAATAAGCTCACCAATACTTGGGGGAATTGTCCTGTTAGTAAACAATGAGTAACAGCTATGGCTTCCAGATGCGCCCCTGTCTGGTTGCAATCTGTGGGAGTCGCCAAACTTCACTGGGACACCCATGAGCCCTGTGTGGCAATTCCCACTTGGTGACCCTGGGAAGAAGCAGAGGCAACTTCTTTGCACTCCTTGTTGGGTATTTCTGCACTTTGGAGTGCAGAAACTTAGTAACACGTTATCCGTTCTTCCCCTGCTCCCAAGCTGCCATTCTGGTCACGTCACGGGAGGGAAATACAGCCTGTGGTGACTAATTATTCCCCATCGAAGTCTGTAGATTAGCCGAGAGCCTGCAGGAATTGCTGACAGCTCAATGTGTAGCTATGGGCTACTGCACACTTCCAGTGAGGAGACAGTAAGGGAAGACCCTGGTTGTTTCGGGAAGGTGTCAGATGTTATCTAGACTACAGTGATTATCCAGGCTATCCACCGCTTCCTCTACTGACACCTTCACGTCTCTCCTGGCAGGGGACCTCATTCACCTGGTCAATACGGTTTCCCAAGAGTCCAAGCCCCAGGAGCTGCTTTCCGATTCCCACAACCTGCTGCTCGCTCCCAAAGCCTACAACCTGTCCTCCAGCCTGATGCGCATCCTCATGAAGTCCCGAGTGCTGAACGAAGAGCCCCTTGAGCTGGTGGGAGGGGAGATCAAGGCCACGGGCAAGCGGACCGATCCCTTCAACTTGCTGTGCTACGAAAACACGCCGAACTGCCAGTTCTCCATCCCCCAGGCGTTCAACACCACCCTGTCCAACCTGACGGATGTCATTCAGGTCATGTTCCAAGTGGACTCCAACCCTTTCCCGTTCGGCTACATCAGCAACTACACCGTGTCCACAAAGGTCGCCTCCATGGAGTTTCAGACGCACAACGGGGTGCAGATCCCTATTGGGAGCCTGGACTCGGAGAAAGCCATCACCGTGATGGTGTCGAACAACACGGATGCCGACGACCTGTCCGCTGGCACCAAAATCGTCGAGGCGAGATCGTCTGTGAACCTGATCGTCACCATGGAGAGCAACAACAGAGAAGCAGGACTGCACTTCCAGCTCACCTACAGAGTCCTGAACGGTAGCGCAGACAGATCCAGCTCTGGGTGCTCGTTGCTGTGTCTTCCCTGGGTGTTGCAGCCAAGGAGAGCGGTGTCAGGGGGTGATTGGTGTGGGAGGGGGTGTCAGGCATAGCCAGCGAGTTCTGCACTGCGTGGTTTTGGTTCTGGCTGCCATGGGCCTTATCCAGTCCCCAGTGTAACCCTTGTGTGTCCATTCTGACTGTGAGAAGCCTTTGGCTCTTTCCAGCCATTCTGTTGGGCCACCTTGGCACTGGGGGGAGTTTGTCCTGGCTGTCTGGTACAGTGGTACCCAAAATCTCTTGTTCAGGGATGCTCTGACCTGCAGCCTGCGAGAGTGCGATGTGGTTGAGCATCCCTGTGTTCCTGATACTCCTCCCTGAACACCCACTGCTGGCAGCAGGATTGCGGTCAAGATCTCTATTTTTATAAAGTACTTTCTGTTTTTCCCCCCTCCCCATGCAGATCACTACCTCGCGAGCGAGCCTGAGCCGTTCATCATGGCTTATCTCCACCACGAGCCAGAGCCCAACGAGCACAACTGCAGCGCCTCCAAGAAAATCGGCCTGGACGCCCTGGCTGGGACTGACCACAAGCTCTACACCTTCTTCACCTCCCCCAGGTCAGAGAAACCTCCCTCGCAGTCCCTGTCACACACAGGCTGTACGTGAAGGATGCTCAGGGCCTTGCCATGCCCTAAGCCAGGCTGCTTTGCCCTTCCTCTGTGCCCTTCCACTCCCAAAGCTGCTCCTCTTTACCAGGACCCTTTCCCCAGAGGACTCACAGACCTTTGCAGATTGATGCAGCTCATAAAACCGTCTCCCAGAGCAGAGCACCGCCCGTTAGCCTTGCCTCTGAGCTGCAGCACCTCTGTCCTCAGAGCTCATCTTCTCCTCCAGTGGAGGAGAACACAAGTTCCCTCCTGGCCTCCCATCCCTCGAGCATGGCTGGGTTTTGTAGGAAAGCTCTCTATTTTTTATCAGAGCAGTCATTCTTGCCCAGGACTGTGTGTATTTGTGCCTCGTGTTATTTCTGAGCCATTCCTAGGCATTATCTGGGAAGCAAGGATAGGCAGCTTGGGAATAGGTGGGGCGAGAGCGGAGCCACTGTTGTGTGAGTTGATGCAGCTCCCGTGGCTTTTGGTAACAGAATGCTCAAAGAGGGATTAATTAAGCAAATTTCCCAGGCAGGAATCATGGAGTTGCCATGGAGGTGTCGTGTGGGGCAGTGGGAGGTGAGAAGGGCGGTGGGAGAGCAGCAGAAGGCTGCCAGTGTGGAAAAGAGGGTGCTGAAATAACACAGAATGACAGAATCTCTCGGTTGGAAAAGCCCTCTGA